ACTTTGAAAAGCAACTTCTGTTCCATAGAACGAGCCTACTAACCCCTACTGCCACCTTGGCCTACTTCGACTCGTTTACAAGGCATTCCCTTCACAGTCAGCACCAGCAACCTCCATTTCATAGAACTGGCCTATGAACCCCCACCGTAACCTCGGCCTACCTTGACATGTTTACAAGACATTCCCTTCACAGTCAACACCGTGATCTCCATTCCACAGAACAGGCCTACCAAAATAATAATCTAATGTCACCCTGGTTCAACACAACAGATCTACCAACCAACAAAACAACTTACCATCATGTCCTCGATCAATCAAACGTACACCGACAATATCCTGTGACATCAGCCAGGCCAGCACAAGAAATAGGTCAACTCCTGCTACTACACTTACACCAGATCGTCATTCCTGTACTCTCTACCAACAATAAATGTTGTTTCAATTTAATCCTTATTATTCCTTTCTTTTGCTACCAAACACTTAATATAACAAAATAAATTAAAAAAAGGATGGTATAGTCTTCAATTAAATTCAATCTGGTTCAACATGTTTCAACAGGTATTTGTTTTTATGCCTACTTGTGACCATTTAATTCATTTCTCTTGTTTAATAAATTGGGGTTATTTAAATTTTTTAAAATTACATCTTTCACCTTTACCATTGTAATCTATTCCTTGTATATAATTATGATTTTAAAAAAATTGCTACTCTAATTAAAAGAGAAAGCAATTTACTAGATGACAATGTATAGAAAGTGCTTTAATTACGATATCATCCATAGTAAATTTAAATCCAGGTTCTTACCAAATTTCACCTTTATTGGAGGATCTTCTATTCTCACAATGCAGGATGTTTAATAACAAAAGTGATAGAAACATAAACAAAAGAAATTAAATGAAATCAGCTAGATTATATACCCAAAACATATATTTAAAAAAAAAAATTTAATTTTAAATTCTTAGCATCCCCTGTCCTTTTGTGTGTATGTGTAATCACATGAATCTAAACATCACTTTGTCACACAAAAACCCTTTTCCATTTTGTCATAACTTTTTCTAAAATTCTTCATGATATATAAACATATATCATTTTTTCCCAAATGTTGACATAAAAACAAATTCAAATTTCCATAATATAGGTTTAACTTAATTAGATACCATATTTCTATAATATTCACTAACCTCTAACCCTTCAAATGTCGAAAGTATAACTAATTCTAATTTCAATATTTTATTCCCTCCCCATAACCTCTTGACACTATATTATAATTTATAAATTTTCTCCCACTTTAATATCCCCCCAACTCACTTTCCATTAATCCCTTACATCCTTTTATCTATATATTTTAAATTTATTTTTAGACCCTTCTTTGTTCCTCATTTAATTTTAACTTAATATTTTAATTTTTCCTATAACCCAAAATTAATATCATAAGGTTAATATTCAGGTTTAATTTTATAAAACTTCTTCCCTTTAAGACAAATATTTTCCATCCTTCCCTGACTCCTGTCTCATGCCTTTCGTCTGATTGAAACATTGAAATGGATAAATTCTGTATTAGTTTTTTGACAGATTGATTTTTTTTAACTTTCAAATTTAAATTCTATTTCCCACCCCTCCTTCACTGTATAGACACAAACTCAGTTCACACTGAGGTTAAGACAGATAACCGATATCTTCGTCTGCCAAAAATAAGCTATTCCCTATATGATGTAATTTTGGATTTTATTCTTTATTTTAATACACTATATATATATATATATATATATATATATATATATATAATGTTCACTTTTTAAATTATTTACATTTTTGGACTATTGTTTCATCTTTGTCATTAATTATTTATTACAATGTTTCTCTGTTGTACAATTTCTTTGTTCTTCAGGTGGTTGGAATGTTTCTGTACCCTTTATTTAAATCACTGGGGTAGACTGTTTAATAGTTCCACGTGCCATGTTTTAATGGATGCCAGTTATCAGTTATCTCCTGTTTATCCCTCTCCAAGTTCTCCACTGCCTTAACTTTATTGAACTCTTTGGGTCCTGTCACTGGATCTAACCAATGCCTTTATCCACTGTGCCATGTCTCCTTGAGGCCAAAATAATGAACACCTCGACAAAGATGAGGACAATAGTTGAATAATGTAAATAGTGTACATAATACCTCATCTCAGAAATATAGACATATATATACATACACACACACATTTCATTAAAATTCAACTGTCAAGATAAATACGATTAAAACATTTTTTATTTAATTTTTCTTGTGTTAGTATGATGAACTGTGTTGCTGATCAAACCAAACTCATGAATAATTATATTGGACACACTACTAGATGCCTATCTAACCATAGCTCAATTAGTACTCATTTGAAAACACACATAAACTTACCAAAACCTATCCACAATATTTGTAGAAAGTACAAGTATATTAGCCTCATCCATATCTAAAAAAGACTAAAATTAATGGAAGCACTAATAATAAAAAACAAAAGCCAACACTCAGCAACATCAACTATGAACATGGCCACAATGTGCTCACCATGTTTGGAAAATAAAACTTTTCTATAACTCTAGGTGCATACATAAGAACCTATACATCCAGTTAAAAATAAAAAAAAAAATAAAAATCACCCTTGATAATGGCTAAAAGAATAGCTGAGAGCATTCAGATATACAGAACAGTTAGATAATTTTTACACACCTTATCTCCAGAAAAGAAAACATACGAACACAAGAAAAATTAATTAAAAGGCTTAATTGCAGTACCTTGTCAGTTGTCTTTAATGAAACATGTATAAAAGAGGGATTGTTGCCCAAATAAATACACCTCTCTCTCTCTCTCTATATATATATATATATATATATATATATATATATATATATATATATAAAATATTTAAAGATAGTTTTAAAATTTTTAGTAAGAATAAGATTTAATTTCTAGTGTTCTCAGTAATGATTTTTATTTTTAAAAAGTAATGCTTGATACAAAACAGTAGACCATAATATTATAATTATTTTCTGTTTTAAAAATATGGTTCCATCACTACATAGGAATTACCATGTTTCGTAACAGAAACTAAAATTTTAAATTTAATTATAAAATTAAATTTAAAATGAATAACTCTGTTCCATTCTCAAAAAAATATTTCTGGAATAACCTATTAAGAAATTTACTTACTTTATAAGCACAGACAATCTTAATATTTTAAATTGCTAAGGTTACAGAAAATTCAATCATTTTGATAAGGGGTGGTTGGGTTTTAATTTTCCTAGACAACTTGTGTATCAAATATAAGTTACTTTCAAAATCAGGTTAAATTAAGGTGGGGTAGGGGTGCCTGCTTGTCTCGGTTTTTCAATGATAAAAAGTTTTTGGCATTTTTATTTGGCCTCTTAATTTATAATTTTATACACAAAGATTTCTTAAAAGGGTCGTCTGAATATGAGTAAGTTGTATTTTTAATATTTAAAATCTATTCCTACAAATTTAAAGTACTTTTTTACTTTTAATGACTAATAGACTATATGTCTATATTACATTCACTTACGTGCTAATACCCTTGGGAAAGGTATTAATCCTCTTCTTCTCCCTCCAGCTATGAGTAAATAGCAGGACAGACTGGGCTCTATAGCTTTGGATGGCAAATGATGTAGGAGAAGGACAACTCTGAATTCAAAACCTGCAGAGGGTCGTTTGGGGGACCTTGTGGCATATAGTACACCAGGTAACTGTATTTGGCCCTTCAAAAAGTATGGTTGGTTCTGCACAAAGCCTTCACCACTATAATCAAATCATGTGTTCTGGTGTCTGGCTGTCAGTTCCTAGGAACTCAGCTGCTTGACCCTCATACATTGAATACGACGGGAGAGTCCACCATTTTATATATATATATATATATATATGTGTGTGTGTGTAACAGTAAAATTGTCCAATTAGTAGATTAAGCTTTGAACCGGTGTATCTTACAAATGATTATAGATATCTTACTAGAATTCTATTGGACTCTACTTTGAATAATAAGAATGTATTTAGCTCTAAGTTGAAATGATGATCCCTCTTGCTGTTGTGACTTCCTGATCCAATTTTCTTCTCTACTGTCCTGTCTTTTTTTAAATTTATTCACCATTCTGATGGTTCTTGAATGGACGTTGAAGATAGAAGTGAACGTATGAATGTTGGTACCATTACTGAAGGCCTGAATTATCTTTTTTCCTCTCACCATTGCTCAGTTGGGAAGACATAGTGGGGCTGACACAAAATGATTTTAACCTGTTCTTTTTTTTTAGCTGAATAACTCAAAGGGTTTTTCAGTGATTCTTACAACGGTGTCAAGATGGCTAAATATTTTATCTGAAAACCTGGAAAAAAGAAGCTCAATTTGTTTAGTCATTTTTTACATATTAAATATTTTGTTGTGGGCTGGACAATTATCCCATGCTGTTACACCCTCTGTGTGTGTGTGTGTGTGTGTGTGTGTGTGTGTATATAATGTGTGTGTGTGTGTATATCGGTGTATGTATATATAATTTTTTTTTCTCTGACTTTCATGCACAATGCAATCGTCAGGTGCTGATTGAAGTCTGATCTGTTAACACCTTTGACATTACCAAAAACAAAATGATTGGAAGGAAACTCTAATCAGTAGTAGCAAGAGCTATAACTTTAGTGCACTTCAGAAGTCTGATTTCCTGGAAAAACTGTTTTATAAAAATACTTTATGAATTTCAACAGAAAATAACATTAAGTATTCAGTCAATGACTGTCAACTGTTTCCTTTATAGATACAATTAATTTCACCATTACTGTTATCATATGAATTCACGATGGAAAATTGGTGAATACTAAACGCTTCAAATACCTCAGTATATACCTCAGTTATAAGAAATTTAGTATAGGAGATAAGGAAACAAAACATAGAATAGTCTGTACTAGTTTTGCCTAACATCAATGAATTTATGAAACAAAAAGAAACAAGCAATCTACTTCACACTGAAACACCAGTTCCCATACAATCACTGAAGTTAAGCAACATCAAGCCTGGTCAGTATCTAGATGGGTGATCACTTGGGAATACCAGGTGCTGTAAGCTTGGATGTGCAGGTGGTGTAATGGATAGTGGCTCAGCATTGTTAATCAGAGAACCGATTCAGAGTTCCAATTCCAGTTAAGTTTGTTGTATTCACTTATGCACAAATACTCTTGGAAAAGGCATGAATCCACCTCTTCTCCATATCCAGCTATGGGTTAATTAGTACAACTTGTATCACTAAAACTATTATCTCAAAAAAAATGCCGTACAAAATATTTAAATTTTGGCATGGAATACTGTTGTCATATATGATCTGGTGTCCCTGCTGTTCATCTCGAGGTTCTTGATAAAATCCAAAGACAGATATGCAATGTTATTGGTCCTGACTTGGGATCTCGACTCCAGTCACTTTCTCACAGATGTAATATGGTTTCCCTCTGTCTTTCTATAAATATTTTCATGGTATCTGCTCTGACAAGTTATTTTCACTGGTGCCTCAACTGCATGAATTTAAGTGTGCTACTAGGTTGGCATCTCGGTGCCACTCTTTAACTGTTGAAACAGTTAAATGTAACCGCTTCTTCTACTCCAACAGCTTCTTCTCTCACACTTCCTCACTGTGGAACTCCCTTCCTTTTATCTGCTTCTCTGATAACTATAATCTTCAAAAATTTAAATCTAATGTCAATTGACATCTTCTGTTGCCTTGGTCCTTGTTTTTCTTTTTATTCTTCTTTTCATTGTTTCCTCACCCTCATCCCCACCCCCTATACCAAATCTTTGCCTTACTTTCACTCTCTCTAGCCCACTTGCATACTAGTGGTATTCCCACCTTGCTTGGGGTGAAATGCAAAAAAAAACAAAAAAAAAACTGGTAAATATGCTGCTAAACAAAAACAACTAACGAATCTATGAGGTGAGTGTTGCATTTATTAAATGTTTTTAGTTTTAATCATTAATTTTTAACCTTTTATTTCTTTCATTTTAATTGCTTTTCCATCTCTGTCATTCTGTATCTGTAAGTGTGGAAATTTAAATATCTGGGAAGTGTTTTAGCAAAAGTCTAAAAGTATAACCCATCTTTAACCAGCTCTTTCATTACTGGGAATTTTTGCCATTCATTTGGAGCAGTTTAAGTTTAAAGTCAGTCCACCCGAAAATCAATATTAGTAACAACATTTGGGTGCAACTGAAGCACATCCCTTAATGAGGTGGGGGGGTAACAATTTGAATTGGGGGTGGCCCTGAAAAGGGAACTGTAAACAATAAATAATATTATTGTAAAAATTTAAACTATTTTTATGAAAGTTTTTATGAAAGATATATATCCAAGAACAGATAGTAAATAGTTTACTATTTACTGTTTTGAGAGTTATAATGGACAGGAAGTAGTGGAGAGCCATTGTCGCCAACAATTTAAACTTAAAACCGGCACTGAAGAATTATCTATCAAACAAAAAAAAAATCATCAAAATTGGATTAAAACTGTGGAAATACATAAACAACATCCGATCACACACACACACACACATACTCATACTCATACTCATTTTGAGAATTATAGATGAAAAGAACAACGCTGAAATCCAAAGGCATATTGGGATAGCCAAGGAAGCATTCCAAAAGCTAAGCAGGATACTAAGAAATAGGAAAATTACACTAGAAACAAAGAAAAGAGTACTAACCTGCTATGTGATATATTTCCCCCTGTATGGCAGTGTGCACTGAGGATACCATCGAACAAACATGTGAGCAATGACAAAGTTTTTTGAGAAAATAGAAACTAATATTTAACATCAAGAAGAGACAGTTGAGGTTTATGGGGCATATAATGAGGAAGGAGGGCTTGGTAAATCTGATACTCATGGGACAGATAGCAAACAAGATGGATAGTGGAAAACAACACATAAAATACATAGTGGGCTTGAGTAAAGGGATAGTGAAAGAGGGTTTATGAGAAATAACTGAAAGACACTTTATTAAACATTACAACCGACAGGAAGCTCTGGGATATGGCACATAATGAAGTACTCTTTTGTGTACCAGTTACAAGTGTCATCTGGAATATGCATTCTGGTGGGAAATAAATATGTTGGTTTAAATAAACATTCTTCAGAATGTTCACACTATACAAGGCCCAAGAGCCACTAGAGGTAGAGGGCTACTGAAGGAGATTGTTATATGAGCAGTAAGAAAATTAAGCTAAGATTATAATGATGTGTCAAAGATAAGTTAATCCTAGACTTGAATAGGTTAAATTTGTAATGGTCAGGAAAGCATCCAATTGGGAGTTGGTTCAACAGAGAACTATTTCATGGGAGGAAGCTGTCAAAATGAAACACCCTTCTTATTAATGGAATAAGATGAAAGTAAAGATGGTTTGACCCAGTGTACATGGCATGGCAGATCTTAGTTGAGAAGGTCAGAAATAATGGAACTAAGGAATGTAGCTTATTAGAACGTTTTCTATAGAAATGGCAATAGTGGCAAATGGCTTGCAATGTTTCATCTGTGGGGAAAGTGGTTGTAGAGTGGAAAATAATTAATCACCTACCATAAGCACTATACCAGGTGGGAGGGACAAAATTAAAGGTACATCACAAAGAACTGTTTGGACTGCTAGGTAAGCTTGATTTATTTGGGAAACAGAATAATCCAGAACCTATACTGGAGGCAAACTGACTGCATATGGATAGAAGATGAATCCAGTAAATGCATAAATATAGATCTCGGGGGGTGGGGGAACTGGCTGGTTACATTCAATATCTCAAAAACCAAACTAATTACATTCTATCACTGCTGATCAGACCCTGAACTACCACGAATCATGATGAATGTCTCATTAGAGAGGCCCTCTGCCTTGAGTGACTATTAGGCCTTATATTCACCCCAGACCTCAAGCGGAACTCCTACATACAATCCATCACTAAAGATGCAGGAAAATGATCAGTTCCCTGTACCACTCCAATAAGTACCTGACCCCTTGTATAATTCTCTACCTTTACTAGAGCCAGATCAGGCCTAAAATGGATATTAGTCTTGATAGTCCAAAAGCATCTCTCTGTCATTGTGGGTGACATATTATTTCCCACCCTGCAACCACTCCCTCACAGATGGGATATAGCAAGCCTCTCACTGCTCTATTGCTACTTCCATGGAAAGTGCTCGGATGAACTGCATTCCTTGCTTCTGCCAGTTACAGCTAGGACGCACCATTCTATACACATTGTAACAAATCACCCTCATTCCCTCCGTATTCCATTGGTAAGAAGTAAGTTCCACTTGAGCAGCTTCTTCCTGTGAACCACTTGGACTGTGGAACCAACTCCCAAGAGGATGTTTCCCTTATCACTACAATCTTAACCTGTTTAAATCTAGGGTTAAATGTTCTCTTCCTCACCTATCTGCATAAACAGTGCCTCTTACTCTGTAACTGTCTACCTTGAATGGCCACTAAACCTTGTACAGGATAAAACTTTTTATCCCACATTATCTAAAAAGGCTTTTGCAATTTTCTTATTTTTCTTCTTATTTATGAATTAGGCTTTTCAAGCCTAAATAACATCAAAGATAAGAAGCAAGAAAGACTACACTCAACTGAAAAAGAAATGAGTGTCTGCTTATCGCACATTTGAACAAACATTAAAGAAATCGTGAAAAACACAAGGCACAGGTTTCATACTAAATAATCTGCACAAATAGTTGAATAAAAACATTGAAATAAAATAAGTTTATATTTAAGTGTGCATTTTTTTAAATCCATGATTTATTTCATAACATTTAAATGTACACTGTTTAAAATTTTTGTTAAGTATGCTGTGATATTTTTATTTGTTCCTCTGTGTGCTGTTGCTTAAAAAGGTTGAGAAACTGTTTTAGGCTATTATAATGTAAATAATGATAATGCCCCATCCCAGAATATCCCTGGTGTTTCAACATGATGTGGTCATAAGCCTGGTTAGTTTTTGGATTGGTCAGTGTGTATGCCACATTTAAAATGGCCTTGTGTCATATCTCTCCACTGTTAAGAGGTGGATAGATAACTGCTTTCCAGCCTCTGGGCTGGGATAAATTTCTTGTATCTCTCTTCAATGCTGGCATGACTGGTCACTGAGACTGGGCAATTTTTGTCATTGACCCATATGTATGGGTACTCTCCCACACTGACCTTGTGTCACATTCTGCCACCATGTGGAGGTGGGTAAATACTGAGTGTTAGAAACAAGAGTTGAGATTTTAGGTTTTTTTTTTTTTGGTGGGGTGGGGGGTTATAATTTTCAGTAGATAGTACTGATAATTTTGTTCAGCTATTTTTATTGCTACAATGGTTAGAAGGCATTTAATCTAAAAAGTTATGATGAAAAAATAACGGGATTAAAGAAAATTCTAACCAAAAATTATTACTTAAAAAAAATTGAAAAATTGAAAAATTAAAATAAAATAATGACAGACAAGAATTAAACAGTAAAAACATTTTTAATGACAAAACTACAATAAATATATAATTAAATTTAAAAAAAGAAAAAAAATAATGGTTATTACAAAACAGATTTAAAAAAAAAAAAAATTGTATACATCTGTAAGTTTTCCATTACATTTACTTTTTTGTCTCATTTTTTTGTCAGCATGAGAAAAAGAATGCAAAGATGATTGGCAAAAACTTGGTCCATTTGAAAACAGCCCTTGTGAATGGGTCAGATTACTAAGTGTTAGGGACAGGCACTGAGTATCACCCTCCAGAACATTTGAATATTTTGACCCAGTACCTCAATCCAGGTAGAACAATTTTTTTTTTTTTTTTTTTTTTTTTTAATTGCGTTTGATTTAAAACAGACCAAAGAATTAAGCCTTTATTCCAACTGTTTCCTCGTAAAGATTTTTTTTTTAAGATAGATAAATTTTCATGTTTGCTATTAAAATCTTAATGGTGGGGAGAAAAATGAGAGAGAGAGTGAGATATCACCAATGTTTGTATTTTTTTTTTTTTTTTTACTTTAAGAGAAAAAAAATTAGAATACATTGCAAATTATGAGACATCCATGATTATCAGTAATTTGA